CCATTTGTTCATTCGTGAACTCTGTTCAGTTCCATTGACTTTTGTTTTTTTCAGTTCCTGCAATAATATGACACTGTTTTAATAAAAGTTCCCATTTCTGTTTTTTTTTTTTTTTTTTTTTCAGCAAGGAGAGAGGAATACAAAGAAACAGTTCATTGTCAAAGCAGAGTTGGGGCTCTCACATCACAATGAGACTCATTCTACTTTGTGACTTAATCAGCCCCCTTGAAAAAAGAAGAGCTAATAGTGTCTCACCACTAAGACCCACAATGTCTGCAGCATCAGCCCAATAAGGTGAGGACTTGGTCAATGACTGTGAGTTTCGCTATTTTTTGTCCCCCTCTTCCAACTCAGGACTAACCAGAGGAAGCCAAATATGCTCCCCTAGCCAATCCCATAGGATGCCTCGCTTCTAGTAGGCCTGCCCACAGCCTCCCCATGCCAGCAGCCTCCAATCAGGGCAAACCCGCTGCCCTCCCTTTTCTCCACTACAGAGCTTTCCCACTCCTCTGCTTGAGTTAATCTCAGCCAAATACAAGTGATGGTGCTGACTCCTTTGCTATAGGAAGCTCTGAACAGCCTCTGCTTGTTCTCAATAGGTGATCTTTGTTGATTTTCACACCCCTAGGCTGTGAGGATTAAACAAAGGTAAATGGTAATCCAAGTGAAAGCAGCAGGTCTGATGCCCTACAGGACAGGCAAACTGAGTCACACCCTCAGAGGGGATTTCCTTTACTTGAAGTAGATCTGGGCAGCAACCTGGGAAAGGAGGGGAAATTTGCCTGGCAGGTGGGTTGGCTGGTGTGTGTGTGTGTGTGTGTGTGTGTGTGTGTAGTTGCTCTCTGAAAACACCAAGCCTGTCAGTGAGCAAGGCCCCAGCTTCTTCCAAGCCGTTTGTGTCCTGATGTGAACAGGTCTGCTCAGCACAGAAAGGGAGACATGAACAGACACTGAGCAGCCCCTGCCAGCCTGCCCAATGCATGTCAACCACCTGTAGCACCATGGGACAGGGCCCAGCTCTCCCTCCTTACCCACCCAGCAAAGACACCATTTCCAGGTACTCCCCTCAACACTGGCTGCCTCTTCCTCCCCCTGGGGGACAGGCTCCCTGTGATAAGTGGTTTATATCAAAGCATTTAACTTCACCAGACATGAACAGACACTGAGCAGCCCCTGCCAGCCTGCCCAATGCATGTCAACCACCTGTAGCACCATAGGACAGGGCCCAGCTCTCCCTCCTTACCCACCCAGCAAAGACACCATTTCCAGGTACTCCCCTCAACACTGGCTGCCTCTACCTCCCCCTGGGGGACAGGCTCCCTGTGATAAGTGGTTTATATCAAAGCATTTAACTTCACCATAACCCAGGGGTCAGTGTGATGGTTATCTCCATTTTACAGACGAGGCACAGAGGACGCCCAGCTGGTAGGGTAGGTCTTCAAACCCATCCACCAAAAGATGCTCCCATTGCCCTCCCCAGCCACCCTGACAGCGCCTCTCCTGGTGGTCCCTTTGGATTCAGAGCCGACAAGGAGGCAGGGCCCATTCCCTGGATGGTAGCAGCCAGCTGCCACTCCAGCCAAGCACATTCACATGCACTGGGCTCTTTGCCTGGTAAGTCTGCTCAGTCTATTAACCGTGTTACCAGTACACCTGAAACTTCATCCACCTTTTATTCCTTTCAAAAAAGCCTCCGCCTCAGGTTTGCCGCCTGCCCTGTGCCTGCCCCAGCCATTACCTCTGGAATGAGAACAATGTGCCCACCTAAGCCAACAGCGGGCAGTGAATCAGGACATCCTTGTCAACCCAAGAAGAGGCTGTGGGGGTGGGAGCTGCTGTGGGGTGGAAGTGGGGGCTGTGCTCAGCTTCAGGCAAATTGGACTTAAGAAAGAGGCCAGGTGAGGGGCTCAGCCAAGGGAATCTCAATTGCCAGCCTCTGTGCTGCCAACTGGCCTCACCCAAAGCCCCTTCTTCCTGAGCCCCCAAAGGGCCGTTCCAAGGAAAATGATAAGAGCTTTCAAGCTGGAGGGGCTGATGCAATAGTAACACAGTTTCACAACCCTCTAGATGCAGTTCCAACAATCCTCAAAGCTCTGAAAATCAAAAACTTTTTAGTATGTTTGGTGCCAAAATTCACGTCCCACTCAGTGTGAATATTCTTACAATTCACTGCAGAATAACCAATGTGTCTGGTTACCGGATATAACCGCAGACCCTGCAGAGGGTCTTGCATATTACACGGTATCTGTGTGCACACATTACCTTTCTTGGTCTGAAAAATTCAGAATTCTGAATCACATCTGGCCCCCAGGGTTTAGGTATGGGATTCTGGACCTGTAATAACTAACGCCAAGGGTTTTACACAGATTATCTCATGAATGCCTTACAAAACCCATTTTATTATCTTTACCCTACAGATGAGGAACCATAGCCAAGAGGGGGATGACTTGCCTGAGGCCACATAGACAGGAGTGGCAGAGTCCACCTGTGGACCCAATGGACACCTAGCCCCGATACTGGACGAATTCCCCAGGGACTCCTGAGATCCTTGACTTCAGAAGTGTCCAAGGTGGATGGCAGTCCTAGTCCCAGGGAGGCGCTAAGCATGGTGCCTCTTGGGGACACAGCCACATCAACTTGTGAAAGGCTCTGTGGTCCTGAGGCCACAGCCCTGTTCAGTGCAGCACTTCCTAAACTTATATTGTCAAGATCTCTCTGTTTGTGGTCTTTTTGTTGTTGTTATAACATTTATTGATGTTCCTCAAGATGCACTTTGGGACTGCCTGACTTGGCTCAAACCCTTCTGTCCTGCAGACAAGGATCCTGAGGTCCAGGGACAGGAAGTCCCAGCCAAGAACACAGGTGATGGCTCTTCCCAGGAGGGATGTTGGTGATGCTCCTCCTCCTGAGGACAGCCCATACCCTGAGCAGGAGCTCGGATGTGGAGCCCCTGAGTGAGGGTCACAAAGCCTGGAGATTAGAAGGAAGCCAAGCAGCCCCTCTGCCCATTCATGAGGCCAGTGGGATGTGAGGAGCAGGTTCATGTGCCTCAGTGGCCTGAAGTTGACTGCTCTCTGTCATCCTGTAGACCAGAGCTGGACAGACACTACCAGCTATGGGGGAAGTATTACATGCACTGCCTGTCCTCCTTCTGCCCCACCTCCAGGCACTCTAGGCCTGAAAGGCACAAGAAAGGTTGTGGTTGATCCAGAGAGTGTGCCAGTGGCCGAGAGAGGCAGTCGGAAGAGACGGGCAGACATGCCCACCTACCACGAAGTGTCTGCATGACGGGCTGCATCCAGGCTGGAGTGGCAGCCCCTCCTGGGAGGACCTGGTCTCTGCCTTGTTCTCTGATTCCTGTAGTGTGCCATTTGCATCCTTGCAGCCCCGAGCAGCCTCCTCAGTGCTGGGACTCTGGGCTACCCCTGCTCACTTCCCAGACATCGACTCTGCACCTGCTGCTCTTTTTGAGAGCCCAGGAGGACTCTGAAAACCATCAGCCTGTGGCTGTAGCTGCAAACTTGAGCCCACATCAGAATCATCTTGGGATCTTGATAAAACACACATTGCTGGGCCCCACCCCAGAGATTCTCAGTAGGTCGGGGGTGTGGCCTGAGAATCTATATTTCTAACAAATTCCAGGTGCTGCTGGTCTAGGGACAACATTTTCCAAGCCTTTGCTGTTAAGGAAAAGGTGGAGCTCTGGGGTTGTGTAAACATCCAGGCTATTTGGAAATTGGGATGGAATAGTTCTACAACGTATTTCAGAATTAAGCAAACAGCCTGTTCTGGCAAAACCTGAATTATACCTCCAGAAAAGGAGAGTTTGGAGACTGACAGAACTAAGTGGACTATGGAGGGAGAGGAGATTTAACTCAGCTTTGAATCTAAAGGAAGAACTCTCTTGGCAAAGAAGCCAGTCATTGGCTTTGCTTTTCTCAAGGGCAGGACAAATACCTGAGGTCCACGTGAGAGGAAATGTGTCAGGGGTGTATTCATTTCCTTGGGCTGCTGTAACAAGTTACCTACTGGGTGGCAACAACAGAAATGTATTCTCTTACAATTCTGGAGACCAGTCCAAAATTAAGGTGTCAGCAGGTTCCGCTGCCACCTGGCGTCCAGGGAGAATCTGTTCCTTGCCTCTTCTAGCGTGGGGTGGCTGCTTGGTGTTCCTTGGTGTTCTTCTGTTGGTGACTGCATGACTCCAATCCCTGCCACTTCCTCACCCTTCTTTTCCTCTCCCCTTCACTGGAGTCAGGCCTGCAGCAGGGTCTCCCTGGCAATAAAAGACTAAAATTCCTCTCAGGACAAGGCTGATCTTGGATTAACTTTCTAGCTCTGTTCCCATGGAAGCCAGACAACCCAATTAGTTGAATGTCAGGTGTGGTATTAGGCAAAACTGCTGATGGAAAAAATGACCACTGAGTGATAAACTATACCTGGACTGGAAGGACTATGAATAAGCTAAAATAGCTGGTAGGAGACCATAGCCTTAGGCTTCCCTAAGTGCAGTAACTCTTAAAACTGGGCATGTCACTTGGAGGACCCTGGGAACTATGGTTGCAGGTTGTTGAAAAGATACTGGCTCCTATGGGGCCAAGGAGGCCCCACAACTACCCGTGTGGATCGTCTCCTTACCCCGAGCAGCCACTTGGCATGTGGAGCATCCTGTCCTCTATCCTTCTAAGTGAATCGGATGGTTTCTAAGTGAACCCAGGTATGGTTTGTCTGGGTCCGTGAGTGAATCTGAACGTCTAGTTGAGCCTAAGAACAACCCCTGGTGGATATGGCACTTCCTCACCTACTTCTAGGCTTTAACCTACATAGATGGGAAGATAGTATTAACCCAGCCAGTCAAGATGAAATCCAACCTGCCTGCTCACTTCCCAGTCCCTGATGCTTTCCCACTGCCGTGTCTCCCTGGCTGACAATCAGGACTAAAGGGCATCTGGGTATTGACTACCAGCCACCCTTCCTGCCATCCAGTGAAAAGACTTGACTAAGGTGTTTATAATCATTTAATGAATGTTCCAAACACACCCTTCACTGGGCTGCATGTGAATTTCAAGGTGACAGAAGCTGATGACCCACCCACCCAATCACATGATTACTTGGTTTCCAGAAACCTGGATATCAACCAGAAGGATTCACAAGGGAACAGAATGATCACTGAGCCAAAGAGGATCCTTGGGATTCTTACTTTCCTTCTGCTTCTCTTCTGGCTCCTGCTAAGCAACTTCTCTGGGATATGGATGATGAGGATGGGAGGAGAGCGGGTTCCCATCTCTCCAGTGCAAAGAGGAGGGCTGCAACACCACACCCCAGATGCAGTAAGATGACAGGGAAGCACAGTCCTGCTCAATAAATAAGTGAGGAATTCCTTTAAGTCACCATACGGAGTCAGTGGACCTGGGGACGCTGGGCTGGAGGGACCCCCTCCCTGCCCGGCTGTGGCCCGCTCGCTACGTGCTGCACACCAGCACATCTGCAAAGGGTCCCAGGAGGATCTTGTTGAAGATGTGGAGTCAGTGGACCTGGGGACGCTGGGCTGGAGGGACCCCCTCCCTGCCCAGCTGTGGCCCACTCGCTACGTGCTGCACACCAGCACATCTGCAAAGGGTCCCAGGAGGATCTTGTTGAAGATGCAGCGGACCCACACCAGGTAGGTGGTGAAGGGCTTGATGTTCTCAGTGAAGGTGTGGTTCTGCAGGGCCAGGATGTAAGGCACGTAGGTGTTCTCCCCCTGCTCCTGCAGCCACACCTCGTACTTCACCTCCCTCACCTTCAGGTACTTGAGGTTCCATGGGATCTGCCAGGACACGGTGAGGTGGGCCTCGGAGGCACCTTGCACTGATGCCTGGCATCGCGCCTCCCGCACCTTGCCTGGGTACAGGCCGACTGTCCACTTCTGCTTCCGTGGCCCTGGTCGGCCCTTCACCACACGCCGTATGGTTTGGATGAGGGATGGGATGTCCACCTTGGTGTCCTGGTAGATTCGGAAGAGCCACTCGGGGTTCCGGCAACAGAGATGCCGTGGGACCTCACGGCTTTGCAGGATACGGGCCTGCTCAGCCCGGTCCAGGTGGGTGATGCCCCCCTGGTCCCAGGGCCGCTCAGGGTGCATGACGGTGTTCTCTGGCATCATGTTCTGCCAGGCTACATACTGTAGGTCCATGCCAGGCAGTGTGGCCAGCGTCTTATAGGGGGTGTAGTGGTCGGGATTGACGGCATATGGGAAGAGCTCAACCACGGTTGCCCCACGGGGCAGGAAGAGGGCAGTGACCAGCTGGGCCCCATGCATGCTGACCAGCATGGAGGCATTACTGACCAGCCGCACGACATCTGAAAAGGTGTGGTCCTCCAGGGACACCGTCACTGTCTTTATCTGGAATTCCTGGGCTAGTGCCAGCAGCAGCTCTGCTTCATTCAGGATAAGTCTGTTCTGGGTACGGCTGAAGACTAAAATGTACTCCTCGCCTAGTGGGGCTCCTGCGTGGCTCACATTCAGCTTTTCCATCATAAACCGTGCAAACTGGTGGATCTCGTTGCCCGAGACAAGGATGTTGGCCTTTGGGCCCTGGGGCTGGACGAAGCCATACTGGTACCAGGTGGTGACCTTGGAGAGGCCCACAAAAGCATGGGAAAAGCACAGCAGCCGGCCCAGGGTCTTCAGCTGTGCCCGCAGCAGTGGCTGCTTGGGGCTGAGGAGCTTATACAGATCGAAGTGCGCACCCTCGCCCCAGCCCTCCATGAAGAAGAGCCGGGCCTCGTGGGCCAGGCCAGGGAACTGCCGCAGTGTGTAGAAGAGTGGCAGTAGGTCGTCGTGGAAGACGTGCATGAGGTTGTCGGGGTTGAAGCGGTTAGCAATGAGGGCCACATCAGGCACGAACACTGGCTTGGGCATGAAGCGCAGGGCGGCAGCAGGCAGCTCCACGAAGTTGAAGTACTGGGTGTTGTGGTCCTCCACAGTGGACAGATCGAGCAGGGCTGGCTGGAAGCGCCGTGAGCCCAGGTTGGGCAGCATGACAGAGGTGTTGCCGTGGAAAAAGATGAACTCCTCGGCCTCATTGGAGTAGCAGAGCCACTTGAACCGGCAGATGCGGTCTGTGTGCGTGCGGCCAGTGCACACCATGTGCGTGCCGCCCTCCATCAGGATCTGCAGCGCCTTCGGGTAGTCGATCCTCAGTGCTGGGGCTGGATCCGGGGCCTGTCGGCCAAGGGCCAGCTCCTCCTCCAGAGTGGCTGCATGCTCACGCAGACGCACATGCTTCCAGAAGACCGCTGCCAGCACCGACACCAGGAGGGCATTGAACACTGCCGAGAGGTGCATCCTAATGCCACCGTGGGGCCCTAGTGAAATGATGGCCACTGGGGAGTGCCACAGGCCAGGTGGGCTTCACCCATTCCTACAGGCACCTGAGGACCAGCAAAAGCCTATAGGAGAGAATAAAAAGGAAAAGGAGTTGGCACGTCACAAGCTCCCACCATGTGCCAGGCACCATGCTAGGCTGTGTGTGCCTGCTATACCACTGGATCCTTGCAAACACTGTGCACATTGGTAGGTATGGTAGACAGAGTTCAAAATATTCCCTCTTTCCCCGTCACTTCCATGGGTGGTGTACACATCCCTGCACTTGACTTTGGGCTTGGCTGCATAACTTGCTTTGGCCAATGAGATGTTAGTAAACAGAGGATAATCAAAGACTTAGAAAGAGCTTGGACTGGCCTTGCTCTCTTTATACTTATGACAGTGCCATGAGAAGAATGTGTTCAGGCTAACTTGCTGGGCCCAAGAGGAGTGACTATGCATGTGGCAGAGCTGCTCCAGCCATGCCTAGTCTAGCTCTGCTGACCCCAGATGCCTGAATGAGCCCAGCCAATACCAGCCAACACAGCCGAGTAAGTTTTTATTATTGTCTGTCACTAAAATTCTGGGACTGTCTGTTATGAAGCACTGCTGCAGCAAAGCTAGCCAAGAGAGGTATCTGTGATGATAGACCATAGGGAAAATCCCCTTTAGGAGCCTGACACTCTGGGTATGCTAGGTAACAACGTTTCTTTACCATAGGAACAAATGGCATTAAAGGCCTGTGAGCACCATTCCCAGGTTGCACACCAAGACCTCAGTGTGCCCCTCCTGAGACACATGCATGCACGCACAGGGGCAGATCAGGGAACTCCTGCTCCTGCTTTAAAGCTCCTTGGGAAATCATGCCTGCTGGCTTTCAGAATCCCGTAAAAGAATGGGTAGAAACTGTGGAGGATACTAACGTTTATAAAGCAAATGAATTTCACAGGGCCTAGCTCCCGAGGCCCTGTAGTTTCAGGTGTAGCCTAAGTTTTTAAAATTACACATAGAAATGTTAAGCTTGTGAAAGACAGGAACCTTTCCCTGGGCTAAAGTCTCTGTTGCAGATAAAAAATTGTAACACAGCAAAACTGCTGTCCAAGGGCAGATGTCCTTGGTGCAGCTAAACCTAATGATTGTTGCCATGACAATTATCTTACTGTTCTTTTTGTAACCACCTCTGTTCCTTTTCTGTAACTTTCTGGCATGGAAAATAAATACTGAGAGAAGACCCCAGTTCAGTGTTATTTTTCAGAGGAATGCTTCTCTCTTGAGGGTTCCTGGAAAATTAACCCCTTCAGGGCCTCTCACTGCTCAGAAGAAATGGGCTTTGAGTAATCCTTTGCATCTCTGTTACTCTGGGGGAGAGGTGACAAGAAACTTGCCCCCTCAGTGGACCAGTAAGAGAACTGTGTCTGGGTGTCACCATTGACAAATGTTTTGTATACTGAGGCAAAAACCTAAAAGTGTTAAACACCCTTGCCCACATACACACACCTACAGAGAGGCCTGGCGGGGTTGTGGGCAGTCACTCCCTTTTAAGAAGTATCAGGAAGGGTATCACGCCTGCTCTGGGGCCCAGGACTGTTTAGACAGTTGAAGAATCACTCTCAGCAACACAGGAGCAGACGGGTAATACCTAACGTCTGCCGGGCACTGCACTGGGAAGGGATCTACCTGCCCCTTTATTCCTCTGCAGTTAGCTTCTGATACAATTTCCACCTCTCTGTGATCAAAAGAACAAAAGTGAAACCTGCCCAGAAAGAGAAGGTATCTTTAGCTAGTTCCCTAAGAAGCACAGTCAGAGACAAGGATTTGAGTCCAAAGAGTTTGACAAATTATCCCAAGAAACACTTGTAGGAGACTGGGGAAGTGACATAGAGAAGGGATGAAAGTCAACAGAGGTACATCAATGAGCAGGTCACTGCTTTGAGAAAGCTGGGATATGTGTCTATCAACTCCTGTCCAGTATTAGTTGAAGACCATTCCTGGGGGCATGATCCCTTCTGTCCTACCCTCACCCAAGGGTTGAACACACACAAATGCATATATGGTCATGTATCACTTAACAACAGGGATAGGTTCTGAGAAATGTGTTGTTAGATGATTTTGCCATTATGCAAACATGAGAGTGTACTTACGCAAACCTAGGCGGCATAGCCTACTTCACACCTAGGCTATATGGTACAGCCTACCGCACCAGCTGCCATCACATATGTGGTCCACCATTGACTGAAACATTGCTATGTGGTGCATGATTGTATTATATAACCGCCCATACCACCATCACCAAATTTCAGGAAATGACAATTACCCTGATCTGGTGTAAGACACTCCAGTGTTTTCTTTTCTAGAGTCCATTCTATTCTAAGTTCATTTAAAAAAAAAAAAAAAAAAAGGCTGGCCATGATCATCTAAATTGATTTTATAACATACTAATGAGGTTGGCAACTGGCTGTTTAAAAAATACTGGTCTAAACCAGGCTGGACTACTGGAATTCTAAGGGGCACTTGCTAAAATTCCATACTCCTGGGCCAGACACCATTCCTGGAGGTCCTGGTTCAGCAGGTCTGGCGTGTGGCTCAGGCATCTGCCTTGCTTGCTCCTGCTTCTTTTTTCCTGCCTTCTTGTAGATTACAGGCAGACCTCAGAGATACAGCTGGTTCGGTTCCAGACCACTGCAATAAAGTGAATGTCGTAATAAAGCAAACCACATGAATTTTTTGGTTTCCCAGTGCATATAAAAGTTGTGTTTACATTACACATTATACTGTAGTCTGTTAAGTGTGCTATATAGCATTATGTCTAAAAAAACAATGTATGTACCTTCATTAAAAACTACTTTATTGCTAAAAAAGTTGGGAAAATGGCGCTGATATGTTTGCTCAAAGCAGGATTGTCACAAACACTTAATTTGTAAAACATGCTGTATCTGTGAGGCTCAATAAAGTGAAGTGCAATAAAATGAGGCATGTCTGCACTTGAATTCCACCCTGATTTATCTGCAGTGTTTTTGAGTGTACCTCTCCTATAGACTTTTTAGTGGTTTCTTTAGGTATTACAATGTATCTATGTAACTTATCACAGCCTCCTGGTATTGACATTTTACCTCTCAAGCAGGCACAGAAACTTTAGTTCTATCTAGGTTCCTTTATCCTTTCCCCTTTATAATATAATTATCTTAAGTATTTCCTGTACATACACTGAGACTCACAATGCTATAATTCTTGCTTCAAGTATCATATAATTTCCTCAAGAGGAAAAGAATAGTGTATCATATTGTATTAGTCTATTTCTGTTGCTTATAACAAAATACCTAGAACTGGGTGATTTATAAAGACAACGAAATGTATTGCTTACAGTTTTGGAGGCTGACAAGTCCAGAGTCTCAAGGGAACACATCTGGTGAGAGTTCTCTTTGTGGTGGCTTTACAGCAGTCCAGAGGTCTCACATGGCAGAATGTGGTGGAGCAGAGAGAGACTAACCTCCTCATTCACTCTCTTTTTACAGTCACCAGAACCACTCCCATTATTCCAAGAATGGATCAGTCCGTTCACGAGGGTGCAGTCCTCACAATCCAATCACCTCTCCAAGGCCCCACCTTTCAACTACCACAACAGGATTTCCCACCCTCTTAACACTGTCACAGTGGGGATCAAGCCTCCAACATATTAAACTTTGGGGGAACACAATTCAATCCATAATATGTACGTACCCATATTTTTACTCTTTCTGTTATTTCTGATGTTCTAGGTTTCTTCGAAGAACTTTCATTAGCCATTCTTTTAGGGTAGATCAGCCGGCAACAAATTCTCTTGGTTTTCTTTCAAGTGAAAATGTCTTGATGTCACCTTCATTCCTGAAGGACATTTTCATGGGGTATAGAATTTTGGGGTGACAGTTCTCTTCCTTTAACATTTGAAAAATTATTTTGTGCTACTTCCCTCTGATGAGAAATCACTGTCCTTTGAACTGCTGTTGTCCTAAAGGTAATGCACTGTTTCCTTCTAGCTGCTCTTAAGATTTTGTTTTTGTCTTTAGTTTTTAGAAATTTGATTGTGAAGTGTCTCAGTGTGGATTTCTTTGGGCTTATCCTCTTTGGGGACTGCTCAGATTCTTGACTTTGTAGGTTTATGCATTTCAATTTGGGAAATTTTCAGCCATTACTTCTCTGAATACTTTTTCAGCCTCACATTACTCTCCTAGGACTCCAACTACACTAACAGATTGAAGAAAAATGTATTGTCCCATAGGTCTCTGAGCCTCTGTTAATTTATTTCCAGTCTTTTTCTCCCTTTTGTTCAGACTGGGTAATTTTTTCATTCTATTGTAATGTTCACTGATTCTTTCCTCTGTCATCTCTATTCTTCAATGAGCCGATACAGTAATTTTTAAATTTGGTTACTCTATTTTTCAGTTCTAAAATTTCTATCCAATTATGTCTTCTTTCTTTGCTGAGACTTACCCTGGACATTTTAAGTATAATATTATAATATTCTGGAGCTTATTTAAATCTTCTATTTTTGCAGGCTTCTGCTCAAACTGTGCTGGTGGTGGGGAAAAAGAGAGCATGGACTCTTTACCCTTGGGTGGGCATGGAAGTCTTGACTCTACTGACATCTCAAGGTGACTGGTGGAGAAGGACACCTGTTCACCTGTTAACACTGGGCAGTGGTGAAAGTCAGGGCTTCCCATCCAGCCCCATCTGGCAGGGAGGGAGTAGGACACCTGTTTACCACAAGAGGAGGGTGGAAGTTTAGGCTGTCCATTCAGCATTTATTAAAGCTGAGAGGGAGGGTGAAGCAATTTCCCTGGTGTTTTGCAGGACTAGGGCGTTCACTGTCAAAAAGGTTTCTGTTTTGCTAGGGTGCTCTTTTTCTAGTCCTTTGACAAGAGAGACCAAGCTTCCTTGGGGCTTTGTTTTGGTCTATGCCCGCTTGTATTTCTGGGTGTGGACTTCTCTAGTACCCAGTCTAGTGGAAGTAAAACCCAGGGAACTCACCACTGTTGTTCCATGAGTTCCAGGGTCCTTTGTTGTTCCACAGTCTTTTCTCCACCATCTGATGTTCTACACATAACATCCA